ATGACGATCCGTTGTTGAGAAACATAGGCGTTTTTTACTTTTATAGATCTGGTCCCAACTTTGAATATATGCCATTCAATTTTAATTGAGTTGATCAGCCTGCGCTTGCATGTGGCTAAAGACAACTACACTTAGATAATATATCTGTAATATGAAGTGTATATGCGCACTCAAATGGACGCAGGATGACCTCGAAAATCACAAAAAAAATTGCATCGTTAAAAAAATTGGCTACTTTGAGTGCAGATAACTTCAAACGGGAAGGGATAACTGTTAATCTAAGGCCATATTTGTGAAATACGGCGAAAAATAAGTTAGAATACCATGTTTGACCCTGATAGCTATTACCAATCTCAAGTTATAAGCTTCCAAAGTTGAATTGCGTATGCACATCTTGAAGACACCACGCCCCTTTTTTGAGGAGTCAATATCTCGGAAACTATATATCCTATAAGGCTAAATTTTTTTTGTTGGTTTAGCATATAGTGGATCATTTTTATGGAGTTTCATCAAAATCTGAGACCGTCATATAGGAATTCCTTTTTAATCTGGTTGATTTGACATGGAATGACCATAAAATAGGTCAAAGGTCAGAATGTATTGTTTCTTTTGAATATTTTTTTCATTAAGACGAATATAAACATGAATCTCCTGAACAATTTGCAATCAATAGTGAGTCTCTTTGACCAGTATTTACCGAGATATGACATTACAAGGTCAAAGGTCAAACTTTCAAAAACCGCTTTTGCCACTATTTTTTGATAAAATTTGTATTACAACAAATAGGAACATGCATATTGTGAACAATTTGAGACGAAAATCAAGTCTCTCTGACCAGTGGTTATCGAGATACAAGCATCCAAATCAACAGGCGGCCATTTTGAAAAACGCCCCCAAACGGGACTTTCCACCAATATCTGGGAGGTATATAGGAGCTATATTTTATCTAAATTGGTCCATCTTGCCAAATCCATTGAGAAAAAAAGGTATCCTAAAATTAGTCACGGATCTCATGAAAATGACTCTACTACTAGTAGTATGTAATTTCCGTTTAAAATGAGGCATGTTGAAGATCCAAGAAGATGCCAACATGAGTACAGAGACGAGCTACCAAGTTAGTGAATAGCATTAAATCAGATCCATATGAAACAAGACTAATGAAACTGAACCTGTATCTGTTAGCAGTTAGAAGATTAAGAGGTGACCTTATTGAAGCATTTAGAATTATTACAAATAAAGAGAATATTGACAGCTCCACTTTTTTTTCATCTAACCCTGCTAGCATTTCTCGTGGCCACAAATACAAGGTGTATAAGCCGTCTATGAACAAAGGTCTAGAAATCAGGAAGAACTTCTTCAGCTACAGGATCATTAAGCATTGGAACAATCTTCCGTCTAACATTGTTGAAGCAACATCAGTAACTATATTTAAAAAGCGACTGGACCAACACTGGTTGAATAAGGATGCGGAGACCATATTGGGCAGTATGGTATAAATGACTGTGGGTCTCAAGAGGCTGAATAGCCTATTCAATACGCCTTTTTCACGAATCGGTAGACATCTTGAAGTGATGACAAACATTGCGAATCAGCGGTGCGTAACCAACAGAAATAAGATAAGCTTTTGGGCGGATTTTTTGACATCATGTTATTTTAAAAATCATAACTCTATACAGGGGCGTCGTATCCAAAAAGAATTTCCAGCAAAATGTTCTTAAAAGACTAGTCTACACCACTATATGATTGAAAAAAAATTGAAAAATTGTGTTGACCTCTGAAATCAAGATTGAAAAATAAAAGCCTATCTCAGTAGTGTATTATTTTATGATCACAGGAGGATAAGCAAATAACTTTTTAATTAAAAATGTTACCTAGGCCCTAGGCCCACTCATTTTGTTTGTTTCACGTCCAAGTTGACAGCTCCATCACATTTAAACTAGGTAACTCGCATGATGAGTCATGACATTGGTGCAGGCTGGCCTACATTTTAGGCCACTAAACTGCCTAAATAATATAGTATAATAAATCTTGATTTTCCATCATTATCCTACTTACTGAATGATAAAGTCCCGCTGTACAATTCCTTCTGACATCATCTAAAGCCTGGAACTGAATGTTATTGACTGCGCAAACATGTCAGAGAAACGCATAGCATTGATTCGGGAATTTCCCAGCAAAAAGTACATTATAAGTATGATTGGGGGCGCTATGACAAATTCGATATAGCTCTTAATTATAGGCGGCCCGCGGAAGCAAATCATTCTGGCCCTCGGGTAAAAATTTAATGATAAAAAATATCAAAAAAATAAAAAAAATAAAAAAATAAAAAATAAACTTAACTAAAATCAATAACCATTCGATAATTATTTTTTTCAATAAAGTGAAGGCCAACAACACTGGGCCAATGTAAAATAGGGGTGACCTCCCCAACACCCCACCACACAAAATCAGAATTATATCTGTTACCAATTAACAAATCGATAAACGCCACAAGATTGGTAGTCAGGGGCGGATTTAGGGGGGGGGGGGTGTTTGAGATAATTGTTATATGGACACTCAATTCCGTAAAAAGGTGATCATATGATTCCAACTTGCCTGGTGTGTGCGACGGAGTAATAGCAGGCATATCGCGTCTATATGCCTTTCTCTGTTGTAAGATGCCCTGTAAAAGCTTTTAAGGTTGTACCATTTCAAAAAGTCTTCCCATTAGGAGGGGACACGCGCCTCCTCCCAAACCCACCCCGCTATAGTGCTACATACACCTACCTCGATTGGTTGTCATCATTATTTTGGCGGCGCCCCCCCCCCCCCCCCCCCCCCCCCTCCCCGCTCCCCCTCTCCCCCCCTCATATGATTCCAACTTGCCTGGTGTGTGCGACGGAGTAATAGCAGGCATATCGCGTCTATATGCCTTTCTCTGTTGTAAGATGCCCTGTAAAAGCTTTTAAGGTTGTACCATTTCAAAGAGTCTTCCCATTAGGAGGGGACACGCGCCTCCTCCCAAACCCACCCCGCTATAGTGCTACATACACCTACCTCGATTGGTTGTCATCATTATTTTGGCGGCGCCCCCCCCCCCCGCCCCACCCTTTTGCTAAATCCTGTATCCGCCTCCTGGTAGACCCGAGACTTTACAGGCGCAATGTTACGTTTTTTTAGGCTTTCAAGCCCTGGTATATGTGGATGGATAGGTAAATTAACAGAAATTACCGATTGTCTGCCAAAATATTAAGATGAACGAACTTTTTATGGCTGATGGAAAAAAATAGGCCTACTGTGTTTTTTGTCACGATTATGCCTGTAAATTCATGTTTGGTTTGAAAATAGGCCTACTCCTACAGGATTACGGTTCCCAGTTTGTTATACGGACGACGTCCGGTCGTGCAGGTAACTATTATTTGGTTAGGCGTAGGAGCAAGGTCAATATGGATAGAAAATATATTAGTTTTACTCTGATAGGGAATAAACCCCAATTCAGGAACGATACTTCTATGACAATTAAAATTGCATAAAGAAAGGAAGGCTTGACAAGTTCTATTACCAGTCACCGATAACATTAAACGTTCAGCGACCATGAAAAATATTTTGATAGAGTACATAAGTTAAATAATTCTTGGCTAGGTTTTCACAATGATATTGAAGTTCTTAGAACCATCTTATGTAAAAATGGTTTCCCCAATAACCTTATTGATGACAAAATTAATAGATATTTAAGTGATGCTCACGCCCTTTGTTCTGGTTAGCTAAAGAGACCCCTAAAGACAATAACAATGTTAATTTTTGCTATTTTAAATTGCCATATTTACATTTTACACGTAATACGCAAAGAGAATTAACAAAATTACTAGTAAATATTGTCATGGAATTGCAATTAAGCTGGCTTTTAAATCGTTCAAAATGTCTAATTTTCTAGGAGTGAAGGACCCCGTTCCCGAGGTGTTCCGTGCTCGTGTTGTATACAAATTTACTTGTGTGGAATGTAAATCCACGTATATTGGAGAAACCAATAGAAGACTTCCAACACGAGTTCAAGAACACTTCAGGGACGGGAATTCTCATATTTTTCAACATCTGCAGGCTTCAGAACGCTGTCGGGATCTTGCTAATGAGAGATGTTTCACCGTTCTTGACTCTGCAGATTCAGCTTATAAACTCAAAATTAAGGAAGCTTTGCATATTACCTGGAACAATCCATCCCTTAATTTACAACTTGAATATCACGCTCGCTGTTTGATTCTTATGTACTAATTTACATAACAATCCGCAGTGACGGGTAGTTGGCTACGTTTTGTGGTTTGCTTCATTAGTCGTTTTTCTATTTGCTAATCTGCTTATTTACATACATGTGTATAAGGCCATTTTGTTATCAGGCAAAATTTGTTATCTTTTGCACTGATGATGAGAATCGTTTTCTCGAAACATGTTTGCTATACGATCGGGCTCGATGAGTCCGCGATCACGATTAAAGTCTATTACTTGCTTTTTAAAGTGCCTTGTGGTGTTTTTTCTTTTTTTTAAAATTAATATCTGTATAAGCCTGGTTATCTGTATAAGCCTGGACTGCTTTGAATGTGGCACTTTATCCACTTATCATGCTAAGTACTTAACAACGTCAGTTCCCAACAAACTCTAATTTTGCGAGAATTGAATTTAAGTGGTGGTGCCAGTTGCAGAGGCAGATTCCCGTCAAACTTAGAGCTTTCTCATGAAAAACTCTACACACTCTTTAAAATCATGTAACTTTTAGAAAATACGAGGCTGTACCGATTACGGGCCTTCCAAAATTACTAAATTTTAGAGCTTCCGGGAGCTTAACCCCCTGGACCGGCCCCATTCAGTGGTTCTGCAACATCGCTCTTCCCCTGCCGTTGGCGCCACCAATTTCTTTTGAATGATTTTACACAAGCAAGAAATAAAATATAAATAAACAAGAAATAGTGAAATGAAGTGTCCTAATTTTTCGTTTGGAAAAATAATTATATTATATCTTATGGTGCAAAAATTGTAATGAATTTCTTCAACTTCAAACGTGGCCAAGGAGCCTTTAGCCACAGCACCTCACAATTTTACCTGAAGTCCATCAATTTTAGCAAGATACTTGAGATTTATTTTGCCCCTGACATCAAATCTAAAAATAATTTGGTCTTTCAAATAAATTAATTAAGAACCAGAGATATATGCTGTTGTCGCCACCGACTGATACAGTCGCAGCCAAATGTCTTTGTGTCTGTCTGAGAATCTTGACTACCACCCTCAATACACTACACAATAAAGTAAATATACCTCCATATATAGTGTGATTCGGTCGTGACTTATTACGACAATAGGCAAAGGGACCACCGCGGCAAAAATAAATTTCCAGAGTAAAACATCTTTAAAAGTAACCAAAAGTAGCCAACAAGCCAAGCGGCAGGGTGCCGACGTAGCGCCCAGTGTATTGGAAGAGGAAGGGGTGACAGGAGGGAAAACGAATCCGCAACGAGAAAAGGTGTCCAGTTGTATATCCACACGAGGAGATCGAAATTCAAGAGATTGAAATTACATAGGAGGACCACGCGGTGTACCTACACCTTGACATAAAGAATGTTTCCGCATGATCTCGGAAAAAAATATTTTTCTTCGCCGAACGAACAGCCGACGCCGAAAGCACTGTGGGCGTTATAAGAAATATTACTTCGATGGAACGAAATATTATTTCGAGGGAACAAATATTATTTCGAGGGAACGAAATATTATTTTGAGGGAACGAAATATTTTTTCGAGGGAACGAAATATTATTTCGAGGGTACAAAATGTATTGTCTTGTAGCGAGTGATTCGAATGTTCACTGGTATTGTAGATCCTGCAATGTTACTGCAGGTAATATTATGGCATCTTTAGCTAGTATTAAATTAGTTCAAGACAAAATGCAGAAAGACATACTGGACAATAGAATTAAAATCGAAGAACTTAGTAAATCTAAGTCCACTAGCTGTGATTTAAAGGAAATTGAAAAATTAATTGACAGTAAATTTGAAGACGACTTAGAAAAGAAAAGACGTAGGAATAACCTAATTCTATTTGGATTGGTAGAGTCGAAGAGTGATGATCCTGAGGTAAGGAAAGTTCATGATCAGGAAATTATTAAGGATATCAGTAGGGATTGTTATGTTGATTTCGAGAGTAATGCTAAGGCAATGTTTAGAGTGGGCAAACGGGGTGAAAAATCTAGGCCGCTAAAAATTGTCTTTAAGGGTGAAGACTTCAAGAGGAAATTTTTTGATGTAGCGAAAACTAAGGGTATCTCCGTTAGCAGTGATAGGACAAGGAGTGAGAGAGATAAGTATAGAAAACTAAAAGACGAGCTTAATCTTAGAATACAAAGGGGTGAACAAAACCTGATAATAAGGAGTGGTAAAATTGTGAAGAAGAGTTTTCGTGAAGAAAGTAAAAATAAGTATAATAAAGTTAGGAAAGAAACAGGAAGTAATTCTTATGTGTCGAGTTCAAGAAATTTTAAGTTTATGTACACAAACTGAGATTCATTTTTAAATAAGAAAGTGGAGTTAGAAGCCATTTTAGCAGAAGATGATTTTGATTTTATTGCTCTAACTGAGATTTTTCCAAAGTTTACGCAATCGGCGGTTTCACATCTTGAATTTAATCTTAATAGTTTCCAGTTGTTTTTACCATCAGAAGATTTAGGTTCTGGTCGTGGAGTAGCGATCTATGTGAGAAATGGAATCTCTGCCAGTTTGGTTAATCTTGATAGTGGAAATTTTAAAGAATAAGTTTGGATCGAATGTCTTTTACAAGAAACAAAAAGTCCTTCCAGATTCTTTACGAATTATTTAATCGAGCACTCAATCGTAATTTTACGGACCTAATTATTGTCGGGGATTTTAATTATAAAGATATAAAATGGGATTTGGGTTATGTTAGTAGCGAATGTGCAAGGAATGGTCAGTTATTTTACGAGTGTGTTAGTGATTTGTTCCTTCATCAACATGTTCATGAACCCACAAGATTTCGCGAGGGTCAAACTGCAAGTACTTTAGATTTAATTTTTACCCTTGATGAGGGATCAGTTGTTAATGTTCTTGAACGTCCTCCGCTTGGCAAGAGTGATCACTCGATTTTGACCTTTGACATGCCTGTTTCTTATTCAAATTTTGAGGAACCGCTTATTAGAAGTTATATACATGGGGACTATAATAGAATGAGACAGTCACTTGTAAATATAGACTGGAATTTGGTGTTTAATTCTCTTTCTGGATTAGAGTCTTGGCCTTTTTTTTGAACTACAAATGAAGAAACTTATTGAGCTCCATATTCCTATGAGAAAGAAACGTGGTCGCAGAAATCCTCAGTGGATGAACAAACAATGCCTCAAAGCAATTAATAAGAAAAATAAAAGTTGGAAGCGTTACACTAAGAGTAAGAGAACACAGACCGGACATTGGAGTAAAATGGAAGCAATTTGTTGAAGATAGGAATTTCGCCACAAACTTAATTAGGAAAACTAAATCAACTTTTGAAAATAAACTTGTAGAAGAGATAGGATGTAACGAAAAATGCTTTTGGAAGTATGTGAAGAGTCAAACCAAGGGTAATCCTGGGGTCCCTGATCTCATTGCTGAAAATGGAGTTCGTGTGTCTGATGACCTAGGAAAAGCTGAATTATTTAATGCCTTTTTCAGTGGTGTTTTTGTGAATGAGGATTTGTCAGATATGCCTAATCTATCTTTTTCTGCTGATACGTGTTTGGTGAACGATATTTTCTTTGTCGAGGCAGACATCTTGCGGATTCTGTCTAGTTTG